AATGGCTGATTTAATTAATTTGATCAATTCTCGGTTGCGGAAAGCCTCGTGAACATTACTTAGTTCGGTTTGGATATTTTCAATATGGTACTAAAACGACAAGAGAACAAATAACTCAGGATAATTGTTTGCCAAATGTGGTTATGATGAGATTACAAAAAGAGTGCAAATGTTATTTTGCCCCGCTCATCCTTTCCTCCAAATCTCTTCCACCTTGCTACCTTGCTACCTTGCTTGCTTGCCGCTCGCCACAATTTTTAGTACACGACCATCGCTTCTGCTTCGGCCCATGCCTCTGGGTCACATCTACGGATTGCCTAGCGACGACAGATTTTCATCTATTCATTCTTCTTATTCCCGTTTGGGAGAGTGGACGCTCGAATGGGAGAATGTCACTTGATAAAAATAGTGTGTTGGAATTCTGGATTGTATTGTGGATTCAATGTAAAGTGTCTCGAGGTTTCATTGTTTATCAATTGGAAAGTCGTTCATCCATAACACTTATGGATAATTGTGACAGCTCTCGGGCGGGCAGGGAGCATGATCGTCTCTCGAAAATCAGAAAGAAGCACAGAAACGGCTCGATGCAGTAGCCCTGTCAATAGTCCAGTTCCTCTTTACAGGTATGATCAGTCAACATTTAGCCATGGGCATCACAATGTATATGTTTTTTTCAGTGTTAGGAGAGCAAAAAGATGGTCACTCGACTTCCACAGAAAATGCAAGGTAGACTGGTAGGTTCATGATACTTGATATAACTGTTCTGATAATAATCGCTGAACAAGGGGGTATAGATTCGGGGAAGCGCTAAGCCTCAAGAGTACCCAGGACACCACGTTATTTCAAGCATTGTTCACTTGTTTATTACAGTAATATAAGCCAGGTACGAGCCACTTTGGCATCATCATGCATGCAATGATTCCCCTTCCTTGTAGACCACAACGAACGGGCGTGTTCCGGGGACAGGGGCATTTTGATGAAGCTTGGACAATGTCGGTTTTTTTTTCCCTCCCATCTGGGGCTCCAAAAAATGTCACTCCAGGGAGTCGAGAAAAGTGTAAATTGTGGCTAACGCGCCGATGGAGCTCTCCGCGTATCTACCGTTCTGCAATTAGACTGGATATCATGAAAGGACTTTTGTTTCTGGGTTGGAAAAATGGTTCATTATTGATCTTTCATTCAATACCTGGGTTTCCGTATACTCAACACTGAGATTTCGAGGAGCTATAGACGATTCTTCACCCTGGTACAGACAGTATAGCAAGTCCCAAAATCTAGATGGAAGTAGGTATTGGCAGTAACTTCAGATGACCAGAATCCCAAGGCAGGACAGGCTCTCCTTCCGACTACCTTTCATACAAACTTCTTATACACAGATGAATGGAAGCACACGTATTACGTGATAGGATTCCGATGAACGAAGGCAAGCCATTCTTCAAACCCGAACCAGGGGGGCCATCAACCCGCAGACTATTTTTCCGCACAAGCGAAATTTAACCAACAGAATCAGTACTGTCGCTACAGGTACATTCTCACCAACCTCCAAACCCATAGCCAATACCTATGTAGCTATCGTACCGTAATCAATTAGGTTTCGGCAAAGCCCAGAATGTCGTATTTTTCAACGTTCAAGGCGGGCTAGACGAAGCTCGAGCACGTTCCTAATAATCTCCCGACCTGGCAATTAATATATTCTTCCCATGAACGTTGACTGCTTTAGATGAAAGTTTCCTGCAAGGTGGGTTACACATATCTCAAAGGCTAATAATGGGTGCAGACAAATTACATCTCCTAGACACCTGAACAATTTGTCATTGATACTGATCAACAGCGAAAGTTAATCCGTCGACTCAGAAAACTTTGGAGTGAGCAACTAGTCAATTATGTCATCGTTATTGATGCTATATCGATGCATTGACTACCGGTATAACTATAATACGAATGGTATTAAGATGCTAAGCAGAATGTTCGGTGAGTTTTTGGAATTCCTCGCATGGCACTAACCTGATTAACCCCTGGGCCTGCCTATATGAGCATCGTAATATAACTGCTGCCCCTCTTATCTCAACCCTTCCGAACCTTGCCATGGGAGGGATTACTGGATCAGATCGACCGCACCGCGACTTTACTAGTGAACTGTGATGGTATCATTACAGCGTTCCATTTTCCGGGCTTTCAAAAATACCTATGGTGATGAGGTGGTTCGTATGTACTGGTGTTGTACTGGCAAGATCTCATCTAATCTCTGGTCTCGTTCCGAAAAGTCTGGGACATTTTATTCCCCCCCCTTCCCCTCCCCCTCACACCATTCAATCAGCAAGTCCATTATCTTCTATCCATAGGCTGATATTGGCTCGAGACTTGGAGCTGCTACATAGAATACAGCCAAGCACAGAACTGATATCTACTTGTACTACATCTGTCTGATAGGCGCAACACAGACATGGGGATGGGAATCCCTTCTTGCTATTTTCTTTTCCGATCTCAAAGCCTTCCAATGTTGGTATTGCTATCGAAGGTCCTGCAGTAGCTTCTTCGCTTGGCCCTTTCGGTCAACGATAGCTTCGGAGTTTTTGCTAGATCTTAGCAGCGTTGCACTGATTCCGGATGAAGCTTACTGGTGTGATGGTTGATTACTGTATCGAAATGAGAGGTATATTGCAGAGAATCTGTTCCAAACATTGTCAAGCACCATTGCCTGATGTGGACAGTAAGCTCACCCACCCCTTGGTAATCCGTAATACGAAAGTCCCCAAAGGGTACAATGATATGGATAAAATGATCTTCAACGAGGTCTATTGGGATCGCTACCCGAGAAAGAAGGATCTAGCCTGAGAAATCAATGAACCATTGGCTGGAGTGCTTGGAAATGCGGGGAGCATGGAAATTGCGGCACACATGAAAGCATAATAGATCTCATTTCAAGCGCTTCAACGGAGAATTACCTAGGAACCCGTTCGCACTCGAGCCTCTCCCTGGTCAGCTTCAATCATATTACTTCTTTCACTGTAAATTTCCAAGAGAAGATTTATTAAGTACGGCACCTAGCAATGATACATTGATGAATATCTATCTTGTCTTGTCCAATTGATTGTATCTCGGAACAAGGGTAGCAAGGCACGTATCAAGACCACGAGAATAAGAGTGTAGGTACAAGCACATAGTCAAGCTATTTGAGAGGTACGTATAGTGACCATACGGTAACAATAATACATGAGGAAAAGAGATTCCTCCAGTTATCACTTTCATCCGAGAGTTTGGTCCAGGCTCTGATGAAATTTGGCTGCTTTGCTATGATCTGCATGGAACAATGATAGTCAGTCACGGTACGTAGCGAAAAGTGTCTATAGCTGACGATCATGAAAAGCATGATGCTACAGTACCGGTACATGTTTTACTCCCCCGATTGGCGAGGAGATCAATGCAGACTCTATGTCCGCACTTGACTGGATCAATCACAATTTTGTCAGTCTGTACGTGTATGGTGGTTGGCTAATGATAGCTTGCGGATTTAATGACTGTACGTTTTATTATTCAATCCTTCATCCACTAATTACAACTAGAGTCTGCATGTGGAGGAGAAGTCTAAACATGACGGGAAGATGATGCTCAGCTAAGTCACTTGGCACGCCTGCGAACGTCTATCTGTGCGACCCATAAAGGTCGAGAGAAAGTAGGTAGCCAACGTTCACATTTCATGTAGAAATTTATCGTTGTCTTCCACGTTTTACACGAGGGGTGAAGAAGAGGCTTCGCCGATTATCATGTCAAGACAAGTCAATACATCTGGAGGCTGGACTATTGCACGCCATCTTACAGCTACGAGGCCTTATTGGGGTTTTGCAGATGAGAAAATGAATCGGGATTGCCGAAAGTTTAAAGGTCTGGGACCGGTCTAAGTCGTAGACGAGATATACGAGTATTTAGGGTTGAAGGCTGCCGAAGTTGGCTAAGTTGGCTAAATTGTCTATGGAGGAATTCATTAGCCTGATCATATAAGGCTTGCATAATGCGAATGAGCACATGAGTATGAACGAGTGGGGAGTGGGGGTGAGGCTGACTATAATGGTTCTTCAGCTGCATATCAACGACACATCTCACGATTCCTTACCACTTTATCTCTGAATTTGGCCATGAGCATGATGACGCTTTACCGGTTAGCCATCTTGTCCATTCATTGCTCGTCAGACGGATTCATATTATCGTCACTATACATTATGGTCCATACGACCGGTACATAAGGATAATCTCAGCCGTCATATACATATGTGAAGAAAAAACGAAAACTAGGTATCTAATCAATGATATCTTATCATTACCTATTGACATCTATTGAACGCCAATCAATTTTATAGTTTGCACTACCGACTTGACACATCGGGATCCTAAAACGGAGATGCAGTCACTGCTGAGCCACACTACAGGTTCTTTCGGACGAATCGTACAGGTCTTTCGAACGGCTCTCGGGCTTGATCCATGAAATTCTCCGCTTTAATGGGTGATGGTGTGCAGTTCGCGGGATGCGTGGGATCATAGCGGTGGCTAATACGCTGCGTCGCAATTGATAGGCTGACAGTTTGAGTTGTGAGCGAGAGCCTAGAGGTGAACGGACGTTGATAGTGTCCCAGAACTTTCGATAGAGCTTAGTGGAGAACCATAAGATATATCAATCATGCCGCTTGTCAAGTTTAAACATCAGATGAGACTGGTGAAGTTAGCACACTATCTTCTTCCCCCATTCCATGTCTTGCAAGCAACAGTTGTCGAAGAGGTCCATATGATTTAGAGGATCAATTGATATATGTTGACTCTCAATATGGCAAACGAGAGTTCGCCACCTGGAATCATGCACCGTCTTTAACCTTGAGGGTCCAGTTAGGAGCTTTGTTATGCAGTCTTAATCCCGAAGAGCTTTACGGGGAAACCCCACTACTAGCGCTGTCAATGCTTAATATTGATTAAAATATCCCGGCAGATCATCTTCAAGAGGAACCTATATCCTAGTTCATGTCACTCACACAACTATGAACGCCCACCAAGGACTCAGTTATTGCGTCCGTCCAATTGAATTCTCTGTTATCCATGGAACATGCCGACTCTTCATCTGGCATCAAGCCATCGTCTGAGTCAAGACTTGTGAGATCGGAGAAGACATGACGTTGACGGTCGCAAGTGATACCTCCTACAGTTACAACCAGACGCTACATAGTATATATGTCCCAAGTAGAGTGTCTGTCTCGTACATACAGTACTAGATCCACACATTAAACAGCTCAGTGTACCACTAATGAGCCACCCGTTCTCGAGCCGTTGTAATCCTACCAGAGCATTTTCGATCTCACGCTCTCGGAAACGAAGCCCGCTAATCCGCAGTATCTGCTCAGTGCGCGTTATATTGAGGACACGATCGGACTACGCTCATTAACTTGCAAGGAAAATTTATTTTTGAGCATAGCAATAGCTGAAGATCTTCCATGTTTTGAGTAGATTTAGCTGAGACCACCGTCGACCTGACTCAACCCACATCTATCTGTCCGAGGCTGTAGAGGAAAGCTCCTAGTGTCTCAGCATCCACTGTCGAAAGTCCCGTCGCATTGAGTGTCCATAGAAGAGCTGAGATTGAGCAAAGGGATCCATCTGGCCCTATTTCACGCATTGACTTTTGCATCCGATCGTCACTATCTATCTTTACGAGAACTCAGATCAAGAAACTCAAGAGCTCTTCCTTGCGATGATTGAGCTTGCTTTCCAGACTGAGCCATTCTTGATTACAATCCACGCGAGACTAGCCCATCACGTTGTTCTGCCCCCTTCGTCTTGTCAAAAAGTAAGACACACATATTCTCCTTCCGATTTATTACCTCCGGTGACGATCCAATTTGTTTCTAGCAATCCTCGTGTGCTCAGGTTCCACTGTTCCACCCGATTGTGCGTTTTTTTGTCTCAGTTTCTCTCATCTTTCCGATGTGTCTCAGTCGCTCTGGCATTCCGAGACATGCTGACTATCTTCTTTTGGGCTATATTTTGCTACGGGTGCATGGCTACCCTTTTGATTACGTATCTTCACGTCCAATCGTGAGTTTTTGAGATCAAGGAATCTCCAAGGAGAGATATGTGATCATCTCACACTTCCTCTTCGGGCGAGTTCTCTTCCCATTTGGGAATTCTGGCCTGATGTGAATGAGAGTACAGCTTTTTGTATCACTCTAGATTTGTGATAACGTGGAAGCACTTTTCTTTTCTTTCGCACGTGGTGAGACGAAACTAGAGATAGTATTGGAGGTTGTTTTTCTCAAATTCCATACTGGGCGCGCCCTTCCTCTCCCTAGTGAACGCCGGTTCGTGGAAGATAATCTGATGAGATTGCGCCACATACTTCATACTCTCCTAGAACTTCTCAAAAGAGAAACCAAGGGACAGGCATCAGGCAGATCATCTTCTAGTACTATGCCCAACGAGTATTCATTCCACGAGTGATATCTTTTGAGTTGTCTGCTTCGTATAATTTTTTATAGATTTCATTAGATTCATATTTGCAAATTTGTTGATTATACAACATCTCCAAGTATTCCAGCTATGTACCTATCGCTAAATCTCAATCGTTTCCGCCATCATCAATCTCCCTCTGCCCATCTCTCTCCATCCCCTCAGCCTCAAGCACAACTGCACACACCCGAAATCTCTGCAACCACCCCGCTGCCGTCCGATCCTCATCCTCAATAGCTACAGCAACATCAGGAACATGCCGAACTTCCCTGTCGCAGTTTCGTGTCGCCATGCAATGTAGAAGAATCTAATTTCTTTCCTGCATGGGCGGGGGAGGGGCTAGGCGGTTTTGAGAAATCCTCCTTCGCTTGTGATGGGTGATATATGTATGTATGTAATGTAGGTATGCAATGTCGATATTAAAACTTGAAAAGTACGCTAAGACTCACCGAGTTGTGGGAATTTGTGTAATCGATTTCTTGGAGATGGAAATGTAATCTTATATCTGTAGTTTACTCTTTTTGCAATTTTTATCTCCTGAAAACCGGAATCGTTCGTCTCCTATCATTTTTCATATTCTTGGAAAGTAAGAAACTACTAGTAAAATACATACCACATCACAATCAATTCCCATTCAGCTCCTCAGTCAAACAGATACACATTCTCGTAATAATCAACACACACACACACACACACACATTCTTCTAGTGGGATTCCCACGCAACAGCCAACTCCGTGTCCCATCTACCGTACCTCCTCCAGATATCTCACCGAATACCGCCGCTGCACAAACCCAGCAACTAGTTATCATTCTATTCCTCATGGTCACTTCTAAACGGCACCTTGTATGTAATAGATATGTATGTCTGATACGTACCTACGAATATTCAGAGCTTACGTTCCCCTACCCCTCCCCTGATTTCACTCGAGCAGCACGACATATACACCTACATATCTCCAGAATCCAGAATCCAAAATCCATTTCCCGTTTTCCAAATTTCCTCAAAAGGCTAACGCCCACTACATCAATATATTGCCCTAAGTGTAAAGACACAATAGCATATACGATACATGATGTGCATCGCATCGCATCGCATCGCATTGCATATCATACAATTCCTTTCATTTGCATCTGCAAGACTGCACGAGTATGAAATTATCCACGCCGTGCAGTCACTACATGTCATATCCTACGATAGATTACAGAGCATCGCAAGCTTCCTTCATACCCACATACCACATCCCTATCCCCAATCCTATCTTCTCGTATTTCCAGAAGTCATGCATGTGTACATGCACACACGCATGTAAGTCATACCACACGTGAGGGCTCGAAACGGGGAGGTCGTCCATCTGCACACATACCAATCGATCCATCTACCCATCCAGCTAGCATAGCCTATTCCTTCCCTTCCCCCAAACCCGCATTCCTCATTCCAATCCTCACGACTCAACTCTTTCCACCGGTCTCGGAGTCCGCACCCGAACACCGACTTCCTGGCTCCCAGCCTCCATTCATCTTTCACTTGATCCCAGCCACCACCCTACACTCCCTATCCATCTACCCATCCCTCCCTCTCTCCCACAAAAAACCACCCATCACACCCCCCAGCTCTCCCAAAACCCAACCCGCAAACCCTCCCAAATCCAAAATCCACACCCCCATCCCCCAACCAGCACCCCAACCCCTCCACTCCACCAACCACACCTCGCACCACCATGCACCGCATCAAACTCCCCGGCTACCCACATATCTCACCCATCTCACCCATCTCACACTCCCCATCCCTACCGCATCCCACCTCGCACCACTTCCCCCTCCCGTACACCCACCATGTATCTCCGTACCTTCGTACCATCATATATATAGAGAGACGAGGGTACGTACCTACACCCCTTCCCTCCCCTCTCCCGTGTTTGTAGTCCGTTATTTCCGTGTCTATGCGTTTGTTGATTTCATTTTATTCCATCCCATCCCATCCTATCCCATCCTATCGTATCATATCATATCGTACTCTACGTGAAATGAAGGAATCAATAGATGAACGCATAAATGAAAATTGCTAGACATTAGAAAACTACACGCTGCTTTTCTTCTTCTCTAGATGCTTGAATATCTACCTAAGCAATTGATACCATTATTTTGCTAACGATATTCATATTGTTTGATTTGAATGACATCATCCAACACATTGTAATGAGGAACATCGGACATGAAAAGATCTTAGTCACAAAATTAAGTGTAATCGATGTTCTTACCTCTTCAAGAGATCTCTTCATTGAGCCCATACCTACTAAATAAACATCAAAATACTAAATGAGATGTATACAACATCTTTCGAATTTCTCCCCGGATAACCCCAAAACTGCTTGAGATAATTCAATATTTGAACTCTTATACGGATATTATGTTAGGAGTGTAGAAATTTCCTAGCCTGATCGCAGATTTTGATCAATATTACAGAGTGCAAGTATTACCGACTTTAATGACAAACAATATTATTCCAATCCTACAGATTTCTATCTAAATCTTGCGATTTGTTTTGAAGAGAGTGGCGATTGCCTATACAGATATGATGATTGCTAACTCCCTAAAATTATGTATCACAACGCCCATTCAGAAAGTAGCCCAGTACCCAAACGCGCGCCAAAACAGCAAATATACACAAAAAGATAACATTGGCTTATATCCTTTGTGCTTCAGCTCGAAACGCCAACTGTGATCATATAATTTTAAGGTAGCGAGAAAAGGGCAATTTATTAGCGGATAATTTCCGTCAAGATTACACAACACGGTGCCGCCGGGAGATTTCGGATCTGATATGATTATCAGAATCACAGACGACTTTCAATACCCGCGAAATTCTCCTCTCCCGGCCAATGTGCTTCAGGCCAGACGTATCGCATTGCTTCCCAGATGTGTCTAGTCGCAAGTTAGTCTTCAAATGAGAACAGATGAATGGATGAGATGATAGAGGAAATAAGAGCCATACCTGACGTGGATGATCTCTAGGCCATCCTTGACTTCTTGCGGAACGTCTTTGATACTAAATCGTGTTAGTGTGCTGGCTAAGTTGAGAGGAGAAATACTTACTCCTTTCTATTGTGTGCTGGTAATAATACAGTCTTGACACCGGCACGGAGAGCTCCAATGAGCTTCTCCTTGATACCTCCTACGGCAGTAACACGTCCACGTAACGAGATCTCACCCTATAGAAGATATTAGTGCCCGTGAACATACGAGTATTGCATACTGAGACTTACCGTCATTGCCATAGTTGGGGGCACAGCCTTGCCGGAAAACAACGAAATAAGTGCAATAGTGTGTGCCATACCGGCAGATGGGCCATCCTGGTCAATTCATTAGCGGATTATAACACAGCATCATGGGAAAGCAAACCTTTGGGATAGCCCCTGAAGGACAGTGCACATGGATACTCCTCTTCTTCATGATGTTCTCCGATGGGTCATGCGTCAAACCCAGCTCGTACGCATGAGCTTTCACCCAGCTTAGTGCTACCTCGACACTCTCTTTTAGTACATCGCCCAATTTCCCTGTTAGCTGCACGCTACCGCTCCCTGGCATATCGGCCACTTCGATGAAAAGAATACTGCCGTTCCCACCAGAACTATAGGCCACGAGACCTGTGACTATCCCTGGACGACTGTTCTTGTAGTTAGTGTTTACATCCTTACAAAAGCTTAAGTAAGGTAGTCTCAAATCTTGGAGACCAAAGATAGTAGATGGAGGGCAGACCTTGTCTTTTCGGCAATTTCTTCATCAAATTTTTCAATACCCAGGATTTCCTCGAGATCTTCCACCGACAGCTTTGGTTTGTAATTTTCTGTAGAACTGGTCAGTATTCGCTGGCTAGGGATCATGCGGAAAGAGCCTCTACCTGTATGTCCCGAGTCCTTCGCCTCCGCATATTCTACCGCCTTGGCACGGCATACGGATCCAATCTCGCGCTCAAGGTTGCGGACACTAGGAGTTTAGGTGGTCAGTGAAGTTACTACAATTAGCCTTGACAGTGGCAAGATTATACAAGTAACGTAGGGAAGCTTCGGTCTATAGGAAAGGGGAATTTAGGGCCATCAATGCTTACCCTGATTCGCGAGTGTAGGATTCGATGATCTTGGACACAACATCCTGGGTGAACTCGACTTGCCCATCTCCGAGCCCATCTACACAGCGTTAGTGGCCGAATACAATATTCTCAGCTGATTGTGAAGACTTACTAGTGCGAATCTGCTTTGGGATTAGATGCTGCGAGGC